GGGTTTTAGGGCCGTTTTTAAGGCGGTTTTAAGTCGGTTTCAAGGCAGTTTTAGGTCGGGTTTTAGGGAGGTTTTAGGGCAGTTTTAAGGAGATTTTAAGTCGGGTTTTAAGGCCGGTTTTAGGTCAGGTTTTAGGTCGGGTTTTAGGGCGGTTTCAAGGCGGTTTTAGGTCGGGTTTTAAGGTGGTTTTAGGGCGGTTTAGGGAGGGTTTTTAGGTCAAGTTGTGGGTTTGAGGGAGGTTTTAGGGTGGTTTTAAGGTGAGTTTAGGGCAGTTTTAAGTCGGGTTTTAGGGCGGTTTTAGGGTGGTTTTAGGTCAGGTTTTAGGTCAGGTTTTAGGGCAGTTTTAGGTCAGGTTTTAGGGTGGTTTTAGGGCAGTTTTAGGTCAGGTTTTAGGGTGGTTTTAGGGCGGTTTTAGGTCAGGTTTTAGGGTGGTTTTAGGGCAGGTTTTAGGGTGGTTTTTGGGCAGTTTTAGGTCAGGTTTTAGGGCGGTTTTAGGGCGGTTTTAGGGTGGTTTTAGGGCAGTTATAGCGCGGTTTTAGGGCAGTTTTAGGTCAGGTTTTAGGGTGGTTTTAGGGCGGTTTTAGGGCAGTTTTATGTCGAGTTTTAGGTTGGTTTTAGGGCGGTTTTAGGGTGAGTTTAGGACAGTTTTTAGGGCGATTTTAGGGCGGTTTTAGGATGGTTTTAGGTTGGGTTTTAGGGCAGTTTTAGAGTGGTTTCAGGGCGGTTTCAGGGCAGTTTTAGGTCAGGTTTTAGGTCAGGTTTTAGGTCGGGTTTTAGGACATATTTTAGGGCAGTTTTAGGTCAGGTTTTAGGGTGGTTTTAGGGCAGTTTTAGGGTGGTTTTAGGGCAGTTTTAGGTCAGGTTTTAGGGTGGTTTTAGGTCAGGTTTTAGGGCAGTTTTACGTCGAGTTTTAGGTTGGTTTTAGGGTGAGTTTAGGACAGTTTTTAGGGCGATTTTAGGGCGGTTTTAGGATGGTTTTAGGTTGGGTTTTAGGGCAGTTTTAGAGTGGTTTCAGGGCGGTTTCAGGGCAGTTTTAGGTCAGGTTTTAGGTCAGGTTTTAGGTCGGGTTTTAGGACATATTTTAGGGCGGTTT